TTTTTTTTTTCCCATGGGTTCAATTGTTATCCCATTTCTCTGGTTTCTAATTATGTCTTGTGTTCTTGTTTCATGTCTTTTGACTTGTTTTGAAAAAGTATGTTATAGTTTTTATCTGTTTTATAGTTACATCTTTCTGTAACCTTTTATAATCTGTTTTATATTCTTTTTTATAACTGTATGATATTTGGCCTCAGTTCTTTGCTGTTGCTCATTTTTATGTGAAATTAGTTTTCCTGAGTGTTTTTGGGTAAGCTGTGTAAATTCATGGGTCTAGAGCACCTTTTTCTGATAACTTGACCTAGTGGAAGTTTTTCTTTCTCCTGACTATTCCTGTTTATTTGAACCTCTTCTATCCTTTGTCAGCTCTGCTGCTTAATTTGGCTTTTTCTTTGGTTGGTTGTTCTCAGTGTAGGGCTTTGTCCTAGAAAAAAAGTTTTACCTGATTACTTTGAGAGCTCACAGGGCTTAGGCTCTTGTAGCCTTCAGACTCTGTTTTCATTTGCCTTTCTCAGATTAACTGTCTTAGATTTCCTCTAAGTACTTCTTAGCTGCTTTGGGACTTTAGGTCAGTGAGATACCCTGTTGTTTCCTTCTGTTTCTCCTACACAGATTCTGATGCCTTGCAGGTTTATATCTTGTCTTTAGAATTTCATAGGGGTACCATATTACTTCATTTTTCTGTAGGTGTTTATAGGTTTTTCAGTTTTGCTCTCTTAGTTTCTCTGTTTCTGCAGGATAATTTGGGCATTTAAAAAACGAAGCCAGGCACCAGTGACTCACATCTGTAATCCTAGCTACTCAGGAGGCAGAGATCATGAGGATCGTGGTTCAAAGCCAGCCTGGGCAAATAGTTCATTAGACCTCACCTCAAAAATACTCAACATAATAAAGGGCTGGTGGAGTGGCTCAAGCAATAGAGCACTTGCCTAGCAAGCTTGTGGCCTGAGTTCAAACCCCAGTACTGCTAAAAACAAAGCAAAACAAAACAAAAACAAAGAACTATTTTTAATACTTGCAGAGTTTCACAGTGTACAAATATGCCATAATTTACTTCATTAATCCCACAGTGAACATTTAGGTTATTTCCACTGTTCCTGTATAGCCAAGATGGGATGAATATTTCATGGAATAACCTTTACATGTATGTATGTGTGTATGCTATATGTTTTAACCAAAATAGGATCATTGCTATGCCTACTGTTACCTACTTTAAATACATAATGTATGGTTATTCCTTAAGATTAAGTTTTAGTAGTTTCTATGAGTCAGAAAATAATTACAGTTTTCAACCAGGGTTGTGGTTTAATTGGTAGAGCACCTGCCTATCACTCATAAGGCCCTGGGTTCAATCCCTAGTACTACAAAAAAGAAAAGAAAAAAAATCACATTTTTTATGGTTTTGATGCAAACTGCTATGCAAGTAGTGTAGTTTATTTGTAACCATTCTTTTAATTGTAGCGGTGATACTAATGAATCGAAAGTGTTCCTTCATTCTTTTAGAATTTAGTCATTTAGAAACTACATTTGCATGGTCTCTAATTAAGGCCCAGGGAATTAATGGAATAAGCTTTCAAGAGTCCAAAAGTGATGTCACAATAGCCTCAGATTAAAACATGCACCATACTCATAGCAGACTGCTCAAGCTCATTTTCTGAGCTTGTGGTTTTCACTTATTTACTTTAATTTCCATGTCAAACTGAAAAAGAATACAGTATCTTTTATTGTTTTGTATAGTGACAAAGATGAGATGTAGGGTCAGGGAAAAGGGAGAAGTCAAAGGTGACTTTATTTCTAAACATGGCTTCTCTTACCTAAAAGTAATAGGTAAGTCATCAAATTCAAGGAATATAGAGATTTTTTCTATCTCATGACTGACAGTCACTCTCTCATTACTGTTCTGTTTTTAGCCTTCTAAGTCATGATTCAGGCACATTGTAATTAGACAAACTATTTGACTAATTTATGAACAGTTCATGTTTTGTTATAATTTTTCTTTTTTGGAAACCTGAATTCATCTAAAAATCAAAATGTTATGTCTGCTAGGCAGGTTATTAATCTTATTCATTCTAGTGTATATTTTAAGTTACATTTTTATTAGGCAAATAGGACCTAACTATTAGGAAAAAAAAGAATGTATAAATCATGAAGAGAGTAAAAACCCGTAGTTCTTCCATCTACAGATAATTGCTCTTTCTTAATATCTTTGTGTGTGTGTGTGTGTGTGTGTGTGTATGTATGTTTGTTGCATTCTGTTTTAACCAAAATAGGATCATTGCTGTGCCTACATGTTATTATGTACTTTAAAATATAACTTACGATAAACACCTTTTCAAGTTAATAAATATGCTTGTAACCATCACTGTGAAGTCTGGTGGTCTCTGTTCTCTTAGTACCTAGACAACGAAACCTTGGTTGTCTTTAATGAGACCTTCTCCTTTATCTGTTAGCTGCAGTTGAGTATCAAGTCTTCTGCCCTGGAATATGATTACTTGTATGCTCTTTGATCTCACTGTTTTTGTCCTGGCTTAGCTTTTCTCATTTCTAACCTAAACTGTTGCATTCATTTCTTACATGATGACCAGTCATCTACACCTACAGTTTTTTTTCTGAACTCAGTTTTTTCAGCTTCTTTTGAATGATGCTATTAAATCAGAACAACTTCTCATTATGTTTAGGGTTCTCTGCCAGCCTTTTTAATCTTATTATCTACCTATTGCCTATCTTTTGTGTTTATTACACATCCATGTAGGAGGCACTCACACTGGTAAAGGGGAATTGTATCCAAGTGAATATCCTTCCAGTTGTATTTGGCATCCCTCCCAAAACAACCTTGTGACTGGAAGAAACACATTTGCCACTTTCCTGTCAACATGACCGATTATAATGCCCTTGTAATTAGCTTGGTCCCAATTTCCAGCAGAAAGGCTCTCTAACAATAGGGACAGAATGCATGAAACAGAAATGTTTCTTTTTCTTCTTTTTTTTTTGGTGGTACTAAGGTTTGAACTCAGGGCCTCATACTTGCTAGGCAGGCACTCTACCACTTGATCTACTCCACCAGCCCTTTTTTGTGTGTGTTAGGGATTTTCGAGATAGGGTCTTGTGAACTATTAGCCCAGGGATGGTTCCAAACCTTCATCCTTCTGATCTCCACCTCCCAAGTAGCTAGGATTACAGCTGTGAACCACCTATGCCTGGCTTCTTTTAAATGTGAGTCTATCAGGGAGAAAAATAACTGACCAATGAAACAAAACATCTGACTGTAAGACTTCCTTAACACAAAGGACTAACAAACAAGGCTATCGTGCTTTACCATTTATAGATCTTACATGTATATTTTCATTTGATCCTCACAACAACCCTGTGAGGTAGGCAACACAATTATTATTCTTACTGAACAGATGAGGAAAGTGAATCTCAGAGTGGTTAACGATGTGCTCAGAATTCTACAGTTAATAACTGTATAAATATCAGTCTTAAAATTCTCAGCACCAACCTCCCCTCATTCTTGCCCTACCTACTTCACCAGGATAATAGAAATAAAATGAGTTCAAGGCTAGAAAAGGACTTTGAGGGGGAAGAAAGCACTATAGAATTACACCCATAAAGGTATTAGCATGGTGGCTTACTTCTGTAATCCCAGCTACTAGGATGGTGAAGATTGGAAGTATTGCGTTTCAACACCAGCCTGACCAAAAAGTTCACAAGACCCCATCTCAACCAATAAATCTGGGAGGGGGGGCATGGGGGCAGTAATGCAAGCCTGTCATCCCAGCTACGAGGGAGGTATAAATTGGAGGATTGTGGTTCAGGTCCACCCAGACAAAAACCATGACACCCTATCCCAATAACTAAAGCAAGAAGGTCTGGGGGTATTGCTCAAGTGATAGAACATCCTGAATTTAAACCCCAGTACCACCCCCAAAAAGAATTATACGCATAAACTATAAGCATTGTCCATGATACCTAGCTCATTCCCCTTCCCATTCCAGCTTGTGCATGAACCTAGACTTTTATACTACCTCTGTTCTGTGTTCAGCTAAGCAGTTAAGTAAGGCAGGATAACAGTGTGATCCTGTTTAAAATTATATAAATTTTAAGCAGGGTACCTGCATTGTTAAGCAAATTGAAAACCAACACAGAAAGGCTAATGTGTGACTAGGATGCATTACAGCACATAGCAAAGCAAGGCAGCATTATCATATAGAAGGGTATAATTGCATAGAAGGAAAACATGGTGTCAGAGTTCAAGCTGGCACACACATAGTTACCTAAAGCAAAGTGGCAGCGAAGAAGTTATTTGTTCTGTGCTCTGCGATACATAAACGAGCAGAAGATTCACGGGAACCCATGCAAAAGCATCTTAAGTCACACAGATCTCTCCAGCTGCCTGCAGGGTATATGAACACTATCATCTTCATTGTGAAGAATGATTGCATCTATGCTTATATCCTGAACTAAGCCAAGGAATAGCTCCAGGCTAAAATTCCTTAGCTAAAATAGAATCAGCACCATTATTCCTAATTGTACTAATAAATGTAAGGTCTTTCAATAGTAAATTGGATGGCTGTTTAGATTTTCTTTAGGATTTACTTTAGATTTTCCTTCTTTAAGACCCAAAGAAAGTTATATTGAGCTTTTATTGGTGATTATAAGTATATGTGTTTATAACAGTTAAAGTGTGATAAGTGAGTTTAACATATTAAAAGAGTTTTATAGGTGGTTGCCGGCTCACACTTGTAATCCTAGCTACTCAAGAGTCAGAGGTCAAGAGGCTTGTGATTCAAAGCCAGCCTGGGCAAATAGTTCATGAGACCCTATATTGAAAAAGCCTATCACACAAAAGGGCTGGTGGAGTGGCTCAAGGTGTAGGCCCTGGGTTCAAACCCCAGTACTGAAAAAAGAAAAAAGGGTTTTATAGCATGTGTTTAGAAAAGATTATATACTAACCAAACTATTCAAGTCATACAAAACCATTTTTCAGTGTCTTCACACTTGCTAGGCAGGCACTCTTCTTGCTTGAGCCACTCCACCAGCCCTCAGTGTCTTCTTAACTGAGAATAATCCTATTCAGCACACTTCTCCTCCTGAGGTGGTTCATACTGAGCAAGCTTTGCTTTCAGTTTTTTATTTTCTTCTATAGTAGCTTCATATTTTCCTTTCATTTCTGCCAATTGTAGGGAAAGCATCTCTATTTCTGGATTTTTCCAGGGTAGCAGTTCCTATGTGATGCTATTAGAAATCCAAGGCAGTATTGGGTTTCTCTGGTTTTTCATGTAAAGCTACCAAACCTTGGTCAGCGTGTCTAGCACCCTGACTTTGCCAAGCACCTCCAGACCTCTTAGCTTTATAAAGGTCATAGTACTAGTGACAGTGACATGACTGGCACCAGAGACTGTCCATGCTGTACATTTTAATTGCTTTTTCTCAGCATAGAATGCCTTTCTCTACTTTCTAATATTCCATTTAATTGTCTGTCCTCCATCAAATGTAATTGTCTTTTCAAGTCTTCTCCGGTTGGAATTAATGCTACCTTTTTTGCCTTCCCATTGCATTTTCATATACTTTACACATACACTCTTGCATTATGACATAGCTGTTTTCCTCTTAAATTACCCTTCTTTTTTTAATATTTTAAAGGGCCACAGATTATTTCATTAACTTTTTACATTCAAAATGCGAATAATCCTTAAGTAGTCCTTAAGAAATAGCTAGACATTAAACTTTCTCTTATTTCAAAGAAAATATAAAATACTGACTAAATCATAAATAAAATGTATTTCTCGTGGCATTTCCAGTGGTATAGTTCTAAGTACTGTCTTTCTTATGATTTTCTCCTTTTTAGGCCGGATCAGTACATGTAAGAATTCGACGAGATGCAAATGAACAAATGGTTCTTGCTCATGTGACCAACAGACTGTACACTCTCGTGTCTACTCTGACTGTTCAAATTTTCAAGGATGATTGGAGTAGGCCTGCCTTACTGTCTGGGCCTGTTGCAGCCAATGTCCTAAACTTTTCAGACCATCACGTAATTCCAATGCCTCTTTTAAAGAATATGGATGATATGACCCCTTTCACATCAACTCCAGCTAAACCTAGTAGTCCCCCTCCAGAATTTTCATTTAATACCCCTGGAAAAAATGTGAGCCCGGTTGTTCTTCTGAACACACAAACAAGGCCTTATGGTTTGGGTCTTAATCATGGACACACACCGTACAGCAACATGCTCAGTCAAGGACTTGCAGTTCCAGGAATGGGAGTAACCCAAGGATTCAGGACTGGTTTTACAAATATACCAAGTAGATATGGAAATAACAATAGAATTGGACAACCAAGACCATGATGTACCCTTATTTTCATGAGGAATACTGACTCCTTGGCTTCCAGTTTATTGAATAATCCAACTCTGCATTGACTGTTCAGTCATTTACACTAAATGTCAGAATGGTAGGCTTGTTCACATTTCATGAACCCTATAAACTATATTTTTGTAAAAATGTTTTTGTGGCAGTGAAATCCTTGTAAATGTTACAGGCTTTACATAGGCTTCCTGTAGAAGCGTGCTTCTCTAAATTTGAACTTTGCTATCTTTGTTTTGTAGCTGACTGCAGTGGGATAGGACCTCGCCTTTCTAAGAGAGCCACTTGATCCAGTGGGTCTGTCACCTTACTGAGAATACATTTTCTTCAGTGAAGTTTATAAATGTGCATCATGAATAATACACATTTTAGGACAGGAAATATGTCCATTTGAAAAGTAAAAGTCTCTTTTATAGCTTTCCAAACTTAATTACCACACTTTTCTTTGAGGTCCTCCTGAATTATGTCCTATGAGGTAAAAGCAAAAGTTTCTATCAGAAATTTTGGGGCTGGGAATGTAGCTCAGTTGTAGAGCACCTGCTTAGCCAACACAAGATCCTGGGTTCCATCCCCAGCACCACAAAAAAAAAAAAAAAATACACTACTACCTAACACAATTTAAGTTGTTTAATTATCAGGGTGTTTTTGTTAAAGTTTTTCTCATTTACAAATTTCAGCACATTTGTAAATAGTTCATGGTTCTCAGCATTTTATTTGGATAAATGATTACCAGACCTTTGGTGAAATGTAATAAAAGAATCCCAGTTTTCTGGATACATTTAATCAAATTCTGATAATGACATAATAATGGAATTTTATCTTTTTGTCACATTTTAATGGGTCAACTTTGAATTTCTCATTAACAAAATATATTACCAAAGTATATAGCATTCCAATAATATGGAATTTGATACCTTTGCAGTTTTGCATTAAAAATTTAACTATTTTACATTATTTTACCAAAGTATAATGGATCTTAAATTATAGAACACAGTATTGGTAGGTCTGCAGTGGGCTGCTTCTAACTTTTTTATTTTCCTTTGTCAAAAATAGTGATTTGTTTGGTGAAGTTTGAGAATCCTGTAGATTATTTTAATTCTTGGCTCTTTTCCAAATGCAAATTGTAAAAAGTATACATCGTAGTATGATTTCCAAAAAGTACCAGCAGCAGTCAAACATTACCTATGAAGCTTCTTTTAGTTTGATTGTATTGTGAGTTCTACAATTATGCTTTTAAAAAGGATGCAGCTTTCCTAGAGTCCATGTTTCTAGAGAGTAATGACTTTGCCAGCCACCGGTCACCTCTCTAGAGATTTGTTTTCTATAGAATTTGCAAGTTTTTTCAGTCAACTCATTTTCTTTTAAGTAGGAACAGTACTTCCACATCCTCTCTTCACAGTGGAATAAGATATTTCCAAGAATCCATCTCTGCCATGGAATTGTAGTTGTCTGTGATAGCAAGTGACTATGTTTTAAATACTTTTTGCTTAGTGGAAAGTAGGTCATCATTTTCTTTGACATCTGCAACTGTGAGCATTTGACCGCACTACCTTGACTACTGGGGGAAATTCAACTTTGTAAAATGTACCAAGACATCCTGTTTCTTGTCCTTTGTTTTTTGTTATCTAACTATTACGACACCTATTGTTGGCCTACTATTATTGGATTTTGGTTTTGTTTTGTTTTGTTTTGTTTTTGAGTCCTAAAGGTTGAACTTGGGGCTTAGCACTTACTGGGCAGGCACTCTAGCACTTGAGCCACACCCCCCACCCCTTATAGGGTGACTTTTCCTCTGTTGACCTCATCTAAATGTGAATTAAGGTCATGTATGAAATGTGAAGAACTGCCATGTGTACTGAGTGATGATTAAGAGGTGTGCTGCACACTATGCATTCCTTCTCCATCCCCATTTTGTTCAGGTACCAAGCAGTTCTGCATGAGACTCTATGCCTGCTTCCTCAACACCCATTCAGAGGCAACAGCTGTGCAGCTGTCCACCAAAGTGCTTTAGTACCCACCCATACTGCTTGAGAAAGGATACCAAGAGTTACCTGTAGGATGTGAAGCAAGGGACCTTACTCACTGAAAATCAGTATGTCATGTGTTGCGGGTGACATTGGCCTGTGCATTATTATGTAGAGAAGTGTTATTTACCACTTGCTGGCTAACTTCAGGATTTGAAAATAAGGAATGTGACAAACATAGGCCTATACACAGCAGCCTCACTAGTAATTCTTGCCACAGAATCACTTGAAGCTTGACAAGGAAGTTTGGTTTAAGTAATTGTCCCATGGTTTATAATAAAGAGTAAGCTCCATGGAATATAATTACCCTGTTTTAAGAAGACACTATTAATGGGGGGAAAAAACACTGGAGTAGAAGGCAAGAGATTTGAATTCCAACCAATCCTGTGCTGCTGCTATATAAGTAGTTTTGTGACCATGGGCAAGTAAGTCATTTAATTTCTCTGAGCTTTTTTATCTGTAAAGTTAAGGAAGGGGATGAATTAGTTGATCTGTAAAATGTGAGCTCTAAACTTTTGTGGCTAGATTCATAGGATATATGACAAATTACTAAAATACTGTGCCCAGAATTTCTTGATAGTAACTACCTCAACATATGGGCCAAATGTTGCTTACACCAACACCTGAGCCATTAATTTGAGGTGCCATGAGAATAGAAGGCAAACCACAGGCTGACACTATTTAGGTTTTTGGAGTTTTTTTTCCCAGACTTGCCTTGACCTAAATTTATATAGGTTAAAGAGATTTTTCTTAAGACTTTTTTCTTTGTAGGAAAGGGTGAGTTAGGGAGGAGGTAGAAAAAAGATTAGAGCAAGATATTCTTCACTTCAGTGGGATACATTTTTCCTTTTTAAAATTTCTACTAGAAGAAGACTTAAGTATCAAATCACCTGTTGAGCTGCTTTTACACTAAGTTTTGCTTGACTAAAGAATGCCTATCTCTTTTGGGAGTCTGATCTTCTAATATGAGTAAGTACTTTTTACAATCCAAATTTTTTAATTAAACTGGGTTCAATCAAAGAGGATATATGAAGTTTTCTTACTAATTATAGATAATTTTGGTTGGTTTCTTTAGTCAATAACTATTGGTAATTTAATTATCTCATATTAAGCAAATATTTATTGCATATCTGTGGCATTTGTACATGCCAGGTACTATACTAAGTAAATATGCATACAGTATATAAGTTTTTTGTAACCCAGTATTCTTGGGGCCAAGAGTCAAGGAGCTACTATTCCTAGTTGGAGAAATGAGATACAAAACTATTCCACACATTATCAAATTAAACTCCTTCCCACTTCCTCATCTTCCTTGGCTTCCTTTATCAGACTGAAAGTCAAGGGGTTCCTACAGCACTCACTGGCTTAAGCTACCTTTAAGTAATTACTAGTTTAAAAGCACCTTTAAGAACACTGATATCATCATCATCAAATTGCCACCCAATAAGCCTAGCTTCTTGCAAAAAAGTTAACTTGGATAACCCATGACTAAGTTTTCTTACTAGTGATGCCTCAGGTAAAAATCCTTTCCTACTGAAATCAAAAAAAACTAACTGCTTAAGATTCTCAAATACACCCATAAAGTCAAGCCATCCGTCACTGCTCACACAATTTCCAGCCAAATCCAACTGCTGCAAGTTTTTCAGAGGATTCTTTTCAAAAAAGACACCTGGGAAAAGAAAAGAAATAAGTATGTTAATTGAAAGAAAAAAAGTTTTTAAAAGAGTTTTTCATTAATCAGGTTTTTCTGGTTTAGTTTTGTTTTGTTTTGTTTTTGAAACAGTCTTGCTGTGTAGCTCAGGTGAGCTTGGAACTCACTGTATAGTGCTGTGACTGGCCTCCAACCCTCAATCCTCCTGCCTCAGTCTCCTGAGTGCTGAGATTGCAGCTGTGTGCCACTAAACATGGCTTAATTTTTCCATTTTGAAATGACCACGTTTGAATCAATGCTGTGGTTCAGGAAGAAATTAGAATTCCCTATAAATACTGCATATGGCCCACTGTATTTACAAATTATGTTTCCTAAAGTATAAGGGAATCTATGATAAATACTAGTAGTATGTAAACAAATACTACATATTTTTCTTTTTCCCCGACTCTCCAGGAAATAAAAGGTGGCTTTAAAAATAAGGAATGATAACCATGATAGAGAAACAACTTTGGTTCCCTTTCTAAGTAGGGCCAGCAGCTATTCAACTCAATAGCAGCTACTGAAAACAGAACACAGGCCCTCTGCACCCCTTTTAAGATTAAAAGGGACCAAAGTCATTTAAAGGGGGAAATGAAGCAGGACAGACACATGAGGCAACATGAAAATGAAAATTAATATATATTAACAGGTCCAGACTCTCAGAACCAGGAAGTAAAAACAGAAAAACACCAGCAAACTCCCCTCCCACCTCACCTACTTTTAAATGTTAAGTGACAAGAAAAGGAGACCAAAAACCATTGCCTAAGGATTACATGTTTCCCCCCAGTTAGGAAGTATAAAGGCCACAGATGAGAACCACTACTTTGAGTCTTTACTCCCTTTTCCTGTATAAAGAGCAGGAAATGTTTCTCCATTTTTTCCTATTTCCTACTTTAACTTGTTATACTAAAATATATCCTTGCTAAAAGTTTCAAAAAAATTGAGGTGTGAGAGAGGCTATTAAATATTCAAGACTTGTTTTCAAAATTGTTGTCAAAACAGGCAATTCATTTTTGCAAAAGGAAACATTACTTAAATAATGTATCTTGGGGCATAGGATATTCTTAATTGTAAGCTTTAGTAAGTGAGCCTGCTTCCATATCTAAAGATTTGGGTATTTTTGTTTGTTTTTAACTCTCCCTAGCCTCTTCAGGAAGGTCCTCCATTCCTTGAAAAATAGGGCACCCTAACTTGCTTCCTACAGCAAAAAGGTGGCTATCCTGTCCTTCTGGTACAAAAAGAATGCAGGACTTTTTAATGTGCATTCTTT